TTGTGTTCATGTCGAAGCACGCAGGAGGTCTTGGCTTACACCACGCGCTGAAGTTGTGGGAGCAACACAACCGGGCCGTGATGATCCGGTGCGTGAAAGTTTTCAAGCTTTCACGCACCGGATCCGTGGTGCCTTCCTCCAGAGCCGGCATCCCCTCTTGGATTACTCCAGGGTACTTCTTGCTCGAAAAAGCGTTTCATCCTTGGGGTTCTCCTCGGGACCTGCTGCTAGCATGCGGCCACTCCCCCTTCCTCAAGACACTAAAGGAGAGCCCGAATGTCACTCCAATGTGATCCGCCTTACTTTCGTCGTGGTTTGTGGACGCCTTTTGAGTTTCCGTCGAGCGAGACATCGTGGAGTGTGCTGTTGTGGCACAATTCCTTCCTGCCTGGACTGGAGAACCTTTACGACCATTGCTGGTCTTCCACTCAGCCTCAAACACTGACTCTCGCGTCCCTCGGTATCACGCAAGTAGCCCATCTTCTTACCCCTTGCGGAAGGCTATGGCCGCCCGGGCTACTGTTCGACACCGTTCGACGTCTCTGTGTTCGCTCCAACTTTGAGCCCCCAACGAAGAACTGGATCATGATTTTGACAACCAAGCTGTCAAGCTGTCGACATTGTTTGAAGTCGCCTCGGAGAGCAATCCCCCGCCGTTCCATTTGCCACCTCGTCGACCCCCGCTCTTGGAAGGCTCCTGGATCATACGCCCCGACGACTTGCCGATTGTGTTGGCAGTAGCAATGTCACGGTGGGCAAAGCTCAGGACTCATTCAATGGCTGACTCCTCGTTGATTCCGACCAAGCACCTTAACTTGTCGACCAACTTTTCCGCCGACCCCAAGCGCCGAAGCAGCTCGAGATATTTTCCCGTCCAGATCACATCTTGCCTCGATATGGCGAATTCATCCACAAGACTCTACTTTATGCCAACGCCTTGCAGTACTTGTTCAAGTTTCACGTTCCCCAGCCAACTTGTGTCTTCTGTGGCTCGATCGAAACGTACCACCACTTTCTGTTCATTTGCCGGTACGGCCAATCCGTGTGGCAGTACTTCAAGAAAATACAGCAAATTTTGGAGTGTCCATTCCCGCGCAACGAACTCGAACTGTTTTTCGAGCTCCCCAAGCCGCCGGATGGCTATTACGTCCGTGGGTATCTGAAGATCTGGCCCATCGTCCGAGCGTGCGTTTACTACCAAATTTGGCTACAGCGCGCCGATCTCATGTTTCGTCCCGACCTGCCATTGAAGACTCCATTGGAAACGGCAATTCATGCCGCCAGCCTCAATTACCTTAACTTGATGATTCTTATCCGGGATTTACCTCCCCAGAAGGGCTACACGAAAGTCTTCAACGTCCTGCGAGTGCTATCCGACATCCGTGGTTGAAAACGCATGTTGTCCCGTCAGTGATCCATTCGTAGCCGAAGTCCTGAGCCTATCATGCCACATCGAATGATCCAATCACCTCAGGAAACCAACCATAACATATTTATACGGTACGAGGTA